ACGCCAAGTGCCATATACCCTGCAGGTCCACCGCTATGAAAACTCAAAGCAGGATGGTGGCCAAAAGGAATTTGTTCCATTCTAAACAATGTTAAGTATTTTTACTCAATGTTAATCTTTGAAATGAAAAGGGAGAGGAGAAGAAGGGGAGAGGGGGAGAAGGATCGATCTTGGCTGTTCCTTGGAAACTGGATCTGTATAAATCAGTACCCGGAGGCTGCCAAGCTTCTTACGACTGATGCTGCAGACCATGACAGAGAAACAAATCAAGAGGCTAATGAGTTTCAGAAATAAGTTTGCATCCAGCTTGCAAATGAGATTCATATTTCGACAAATGTGACAACGTATTTTAGTTCCTATAGAAGTGAGTCAAGAAAATACAGCACCCGAATGCAGATAATGGCTGGGAGGCTATATACCTGAAATCAGTATGTAAATCCTTAATTAGCTGATAAATTAATAGGCAAGTCCTAATTAACAGATCAAAACAAAAAAGAAGTCTTGGCAACACCACAAGGAAACAATTTTGCATATAGTCTCTACTTGAAGTGCATGGTCATTAAATTTGAAGATTGTAACATGGGAAGCTGTTTAGTTTAGGGAGGACAGCTAGCAATATCATAGGTAAATGTAAAGGGACCCCTGACCATTAGGTCCAGTCGTGGCCGACTCTGGGGTTGCGGAGCTCATCTCGCTTTATTGGCCGAGGGAGCCGGCGTACAGCTTCCGGGTCATGTGGCCAGCATGACTAAGCCACTTCTGGCGAGCCAGAGCAGCGCACGGAAACGCTGTTTACCTTCCCGCCGGAGGGGTACCTATTTATCTACTTGCACTTTGACGTGCTTCCGAACTGCTAGGTTGGCAGGAGCAGGGACCGAGCAAAGGGAGCTCACCCCGTCGCGGGGATTTGAACTGCCGACCTTCTGATCGGCAAGTCCTAGGCTCAGTGGTTTAACCCACAGCGCCACCCGCTAAGCAAATATGTCCAAGCAGGTGACAGGTGGTTCAGATGTTACTGTCTGTGACCAGAACACACTTGTCCTTTAAGCACTCTGAAAAGCACTGATAGGTGGCTGTTTGGATATGAAATTCACTGCCATGACCACCACGTGATAAGCACATGCTATAGTGCTTATATACTGACCTCACTATCAGATTAGTGTCACTTGTATTCTAGTTTCTGTTTGCTTCCTTATCCAAATGTGCACTCTAGACCTCAACGCTGGAGAGAGCACTTAGGGGCAGCCTTGTTGATGGCATCTCCCCCCCACCTCCCAAATCCCTATTCCTATTGTGTCATGCCTTTTAGACTGCAAGCCTGGGGGCCTTTTCTGGCTAAAGAGCAGGATACGAATACTTTAAATGAATAAGTATATCCATATATTACTAGACCTGCAGAAGCTTCTGTAGTGTGCTAGTTAAAGCGTGTGAGCTATGAGACAGACGTCCATCATTTAAATCTCACAACAACCAAAATTTAATTAGGTACCCTTATTTAATCCCATCTCTTCGATGTCAGCCTCCATCTACAATATAGCAGTAATGATATTGGCCAGGTTCTTGGAAAAAGTATTAAGATGAAGTAAGTGACACTTGAAATGCAACGTATAAATTAGAAGCATTAAATATACTAGTAATTAAGTTCTACCATTCGTTAAGCATGCTCAAGATTGAAGCTTTAGTTATTCCTCCCCCAAGACTGGGAGTTACTGAATCGCAATCCATTTCAAATGAAACAGCATTGGGGGGTGGGGGGTGGAAACAACTTCCAGAATAGGCAAGGTCGCAAGACAAATGTGTGGGCACTGGAGGGAATTTCAGCAATCCTTTTACTGCATGTTTATAAAATCTGTTCAGTATTTACTGCGAAGCATGAAAATATTAATCAGTTATTTATCTTCTTACATGTTTGGCATCAACATCTGGTGTATGCACAAGTGGTGAAGTCTAACATTTGGAATGAATGAATATTTAATGCTCTTTTTCCCCAAACTCACCAGGAAAAGTTAGCATGCGCATATATATATATATATATATATATATATATATTCACACACACACACACACACACACGAATGAAAGAAGATTCCAGAGCCAACTGTTTCTATCAAATAATTACTAGCTTCATATAGGAGTGTCTGGTCTATTTTAGATTATATTTCTGGTTGGAGGAAAGAACTGATCTTAACTAGATTATCTGTGTGCTGTTTCCTACCCCTTTTTTGTCTTCCTTACAGCATTTTGTTGCCAAGCCTTATTAAACGAGTACGGTCTTCATTGATCTGTTTTATTTCTAGTTCTATTTGTTCAATCTGAGATATCACGCACATCTGGTTTATTTCAGAAAATGCCGCCCAGAAAAAGCATCCAGTCCAATCTAATCAAGAACAAACTTGCCCATAAATAACAAAGAACCTAACAATATCACTGTTAGGAAGATGTAAGAGAATGCTAAAAAATAAAAAAAATCAAATTCCTGTATATTGACTATCACAATCTTTTTGAAAGCCTGAATCAGTTAGTTAAATAGTACGTTCTAAAGAAACACAATCTCCCAGTTAATGTTCACACCATTATGCCTGCTCGGAGGTTGATGTTTCTGTGCCCCTTAATCATACGTTCCTACCATCCTTACTGCTGGATCCATCATTAAATATTGGCATTCCCAGGAACTATCACTGTAATTAAAAACTGCTGTGTCTTGTTTAACACATCATGCTAATATTATTTACAAGCCATAGGTTTAGCTTATTATTTGTTTTGCACGTTACTTGCAAGAGTACTAGCAGTTTTTGCAACCCAGCATATACTCCAGACAGTCATTTCATAAGAAACCTTTACAGGATAAATTCTTGTGAAAGGGTTCACAGAATCTCCCTACAGCCCTGTCATCAGGTGCTGAAATAAACCAAATGTGTGTCACACTGCAGTTTTAACAAGCTACAAACAGAGCCAGCCTTTTTCTACAGAACTGAAACTGTCAAAAGACGCAATAGATTAATTCAACAGGCTTTATAGAATTAACCTGAAGTTTCCAGCAAGCAAAAATTCAAGTTTTCTATATTACTTTGATGTTTTTAGTGAAATGTCTGTGAAATATGTGACTTTAATTATATCACTATTGGTGAGGTTTCTCTTTAACCAAATTATGCCATTCAGACAGCAAACATCGAGACCCAAAAAAGTAAAGTAAAGTAGTTAGGGGGATGTGGCATGATTGAGTCTAACTGAGAAAAAATAGCACTCATAATTTATAATAAAACTATCTCTAGATGAAGTACCACATAGAAAATCATTTAATTTTGTCACTAATAAATTAGTAAATTTGTATTATTGTCTCCAACTGGCCTGATTGCACTTAATTGGACTGCTTCATTTGTGGTTAGCGATACATGCTCTCTTTTGTCCTGCTTACTGGAGAGGGAATGCCATTTAAACAAAAACAAAACAAACCCCTTTTTTAAAAGCATTAAAGGGTACATGGTGGAAGAACAAAAAGCCACACACTGTACCATGATGGCAAAATAATTAGAATAATATTTATTATTAGCCTACATAACAAGGTGGTTGTGAATGATAACAGAATTCTAAGGCAAAGCCAGCGCAATGAAAATTAAAAACCTCATTGTGACACGTGGAGAATCCAGCAAGGCACAGTGTTTGGAGATGAGAGGAATTCAGCTGGGAATTTAGGCAAATTAGTATAAAGTTGCAGAGTACATAACTTACGGAATTATGCACTACCCACCTCCACCCATAACATACCCTGCAGAGTATGCAGAAGCAAAACTGAAAAGAATAGCCACAGTGCCTAAGAAAAAATACAGGCCTGCTTCTCCATGCATACTACTATGATGATGAAGTGTGCTAGGATTTATTATGGAATATTACTCTCATAATGCTCAGATGGCTTTCTGTTGTCCGGAAATGTAAGCCTTATAGGCCTGGCACCAGATCAGTTACACTCCTTGTCCTCAAGACTTAATGTTCCTTGCTCCATCAAAAATCAATAAGAAAAGCCATGGCTTCCAGCAACCAGCAGAGATCAGATTGTTCATTTAAAATAATCCAGATACTAATTTTCTGCTACATTATTTCAAGAGAGTTATTTCCCATAGGACTGTATTTTCCCCCAGATATGATCTACCAAACCTGCATGTTTCCCATTTTTAGAATCACATGGCACGAAGCGAGACTTACATGCCGAAACTGCTGAAGGCACATCCCATTCCCTTGCCAATAAAGCCATGGCACATTTGGCTGTCTGCCATTTAAGCATCCCTAAGCCTCCCCATACCCATCCTACCACACATTGCCAACAGATTATTACATCTGTGCAAGGAAGACAAGAGTTGGGCCAGCAACCATTAGGGTGCCACATAAGGGTACAATCATGACCCCATCAAGTCCATACCACAAAAGACCCATTTGTACCAGGCAAGAGGTTGACCTGACAACTGACGCTATCCCACAAATCGTCCAGGGCCTGATCATAGTGCTAGTCCAGAAACACCTGGAAAGCCACATTTCCCCCATTCCATGGTTGGAAGAAGGGCTAAGGAGCCCTTTCATACCACCCTCTTGATTCCGGACTGTATCCAATGCTAGTCCTACTCAGAATAGGCCCATTGAAGTTAATAGATATGGCTAACAAAGGTTCATTAATTTAAATAGATCTGCTCTGAGTAGAACTAGCATTGGATACAAACTTATGGCTTCTAGGCATAGGCAAACTCCGGCCCTCCAGATGTTTGGGACTGCAATTCCCATCAACCCTGACCACTGGTCCTGTTAGCTAGGGATGGTGGGAATTGTAGTCCCAAACATCTGGAGGGCCAGAGTTTGCCCATGCCTGTTCTAAGTTCTCCCCCCGCCCCGTAAAAAAAATCAAAATCAACTATCAGACGCAGAATGCAATGTAAGAAGCCCTGCATCATACTGCACAATAGATTGTGCCTTGAGTGAGAGGCTGGACTAGATATTTTTCTATGACCCATCAAACCAAGCAGGATAGCTCAGCCAATAAGAGCATGAGACTCTTAATCTCATGGTCATGGGTTCCAGCCCTACATTGGGTAAAAAGGTTCCTGAATTGCAGGGGATTGGACTAGCTGAGCCCTTGTGATCCCTTCCAAACTCTGTGATTCTCTGCACTGCATCTGTTTACATAATTTATCTTGAGGAATTTGGATACTTTCATCACCAAATAATATGAGCAGCCCTATCCTTAAGGGAAGCATGATTTGAAGATTCCTTCAGTCATTACCCATTACCACGAGCCCTGAATCCAGGAATAGTTAGTCATGACTGAGTCCCATTGAAACCAAATGAAAAGTCATCACTATCTGATCTGATTCATTTGGGATTCAGTCCTGACTAACTTAAAATGTACTATCCCCGACTCAGTTAAGCAGAGAATTAAAAATTTAATGTGCTAATGCAGCAAGCAAGTTTTTGCAAACATGTGACCTGGCTTGAACATAACATTAAACCGCAGTATACTGTTACGGGGATGAGAATGCTAAGGCCTTAGGTTCAAAAGCTTCTTCCTCTCCTCTCTTCCTCCAGCGAGCTTAAACAGCATTTTACAAATCAGATAAATAACTATTAGGAGTGCCCCAAAGGCTGGGCCTAATAAACCCTTTTCTGTGCACCTAAAGGTCTTTTCCCTTTTAATTTCTGTTTCATCCAATAAGGACAAACTGTAGTTAATTTAGACTACAGTTTATTGAAACAAGCCCAAATCAAAATGCCTTTTTTATCATGGCTGTTTACAAACTAACCTCAGTTTAGCTCATTTTGGGAGTAACAACAAACTCTACTTACTTTATATCAGGGCCTAGGTGCTTCCGATCTCCTCCTCTGGTACACACCAGAAGAGGTAAAGTAATTAGTCAAGCAGCTCACTTTTGTAAAGTGAAACTGTGGCTTAGCATTATATCCAAACTTAACCATGGAGTCACTCACTGAGCAGCTTCTTGTTAGGTACACACTTAGTGCTAAACCTAAGTCTGCTTCTGAATAATGTGTGAAATGAACGATGAATTCATGCAGACCAAACTTGAAAAGCAGTAACTTAAGTGGCATTGATGTGGCTGTAGCAGCTCACATGAGATTCATTATGCAGGCTTAAAATTGTGTCCCCATGTTTTTCTTGTTAAGAAGCGCACAGGGAGGTATGGAAGTACGAGATACAAACCTGCACATCATAAGTCCCGTTTAGCAGGACAGGCCTTTGGGAATTGATATCCTGCAGGACCCCTGACAGCACAGAACAATTGACTTTCTGAAAGTCTTTGGAGTGGCTGAACTGCACCATGTTGTGGAGAGCCAAAATTTTAGTGTCAAGCTCAGCATCCTGCCTGGTGCGGTTGTGCAGCCCGAGGTGGTACTTGCGGAAGTGTTTGATGAGATCTGTGGGGTCGTTCCCATAGTAACCATAGCCACAGATGTTGCATTTGAAGTCCTGAAGCTCTGGAGACAGAGGCGCCATATCAGGGTTCTCGTTTGCCAGCAAATCTGCTTTCAATTTGCTTGGCCTTGCGTCCCCATCTGAAGGCACTTGTGGGTTTTTTGAGGCCACCGAACCCGGGCTCGAACCCCGGCCCTCGGCTTGACCACTTTGCACATGCACTGTTTCGTCCATAGATTTTGGTGATGTGCGATGCTCATCGTTTTTCTCCGACAGATCTCCTGGCGGGGTGCAGATCACATCTTGGGTGTCATCTGCATCTGATCTGAGAGGAGACTTCAAGGACTCTGAGATTCCCCCAACAGCTGGAGATGAGAAGCCCTGCATATTTCTGTCTGTCACCTCATCATGAGGGAAGGATGGAACATTTCCTCCCTTATTGTGGCTTTCATAATTAAAGCCAGCCTTTTCACTTGCTGCGGAGCTTTTAAAGTCCTTTTTAGTGCTGAGAGATGACTCTGGGACATGCGTGCAAAACCCCTCCTTGTCAGTTTGCTCCGCAGCCTCACTCTGCTCAGCGTTCCCTTGCATCGGACCGGCAGAAAATTCTCGTTGCCTTTCAATAGTGTCACTTTCAGGACCCGGCGACTTGAGAGTCTCGGGTTCACCTTCACTAGCAACGTTTCTTAGAGGGGGGTTCTTTTTCCGGACCATATCTGAAAGCAGAAACAGAAAAACAATTAGACTGCTTAAACTACGCAGTCAATTTATGCCACCCCTCACCCTTAAACATAAAGGTGCAGTTTCTGCCAGATACAAAATACCCACAAGCTTTTATAAAACACTGGATACTATCAGTGGCACACTTACTTGGGCACAGGTACAATGCTGGCACACTCATTTTGACTTAAATCTTACAGAAATAGCAACATTTCAAAATGTAATTTAAATAAAATTTAAAATATCAGTGGTAATCTCCAGTTCTGTGCATCAGTTAGTAGCTTGACATCTCTGTAAAAGAATCCCAGTAATGCCATGCTAAATTCTTTTATAAAAAAATTCTTATTAGAATAAATAATTATTGATGTGTCATACTGAGATCAGTATTTAGCCTCACACATGCATGCACTCACACACACCAGATTTTTTTTGGGGGGGTGGCATTGGCTCCTCCCTTCCTACTGCTGAACCCTATGCCACTCTTTGCTTTAAGATAAGAAAACCCCTTAATTGTGAAAACAGATATAGAACTGAAAAATATATATGCTACTATAGGCTATATGAGCTATGTTTTGAGATGAGTGTTGCTCACATAAGAGATCCAGAATTTCTTAAAACAATAAACTATGCACTCTTTCATATTTTGGTCTGGGTCTAATCTCATAGTTATCAAGCAAACATAATGTTCGAATGAGAATCTTATACTTATCAGTAACTTCCATGCTATAATTTTACAGTACTGTAAAATGTTATAACTTTACTGCCTAGAGCAGGGGTAGCCAACGTAGTGCTCCCTTCCAGATGTTGCTGGACTCCAACTCCCATCACCCTCAACCAGCATGGCCATTGGTTATGGATGTTGGGAACTGTAGTCTGACAATATCTGAAAAGCACCACGTTGGCTGGCCTAGGGTCTCAAAACGGGGGAAATGAGTCAACCCCTACAAAGAAAGATGATTTTATGGCAAGCACAGTACCAACACGTTGTTCAGCAACTGGGTGGGCTGAATATCGCCTTGCTGAAGATACCTCCTGATCTATACTGGATTTCTGAAGCTAGCCACACCCCCTGGGTACTATCATCCCAATGTGATTTGAGAAGAAGGGAGCTTAGGAAGAGCTGAAACAGATGGTTGGGCCATGGGCTGGGTGAGGCAAAATACACAAAAGCCTTTTTGAAGTCCCCCTCCCCCCACCCTCCTGTCTAAAATCTCAAAATAATTGCCAATATTTTCGTATGAGAAGAAGAATTTGTGAAGCTAATATTAGGCGCATCACCCTTCCACCACCCCTTCCTAAAAAATTTTTTTCCTAAAAACTGCAGTTTCATTGGACTGTATCTATGATACTCTACCCTTAAAGAAAGATATGCTTTTCCTCTGGCTTGTACACTATCAATATCATTTTTCAAGAAGACATATTATCTAAATAAAAGCCCATTTGCAGTACTTCTAAATGGAAGAAACTATCTACTGGCAAGTCATGTTAGACAGAGTGAGAATACAGAGAAAGCATATAAGCATTCTGCAATTATTATCTGTAAGACAAATAACAGATTGCACAATGCTTTATAGCGTGCCAAGAAGTTTTCCAGTTAACATTTCCACTTGGAAAAAAAAAAAGATTACATACTTTTAAAATCATACCCAGCATTGACTTCATAAGGCATGTGGCTCTAGAATGCTTTTTTGTTTTTTTGCTTTTACAGTTATTAATTCTATTAGTCAGCTAGCAGGAGGGCTAACGCAACTGGCTTAGGAGGTACACGGAAGACACAGAAGACATTTTGAGAGCTGATCTGCACATCTGCAAAAGAAAAAAAAAAGATTTCCTTCCTAAATTATGCATTCACGATCAGTTGCGGTTTTTCCTTACTTAAAAACATGATTATGTCTGCTTTCTATGCAGCATTAGATCTACTACAGCAAATGGTGGCTGCGGCAAACAGTTCTCAGTTTAGAAAAATACACAGCATTCAGCATGCTTTGTCCTTTTCCATATGCACTCCTTCTTGCATAGACATTCTCGCAAATTCTGATCCCAATATTTTGTAGGTATCCAGCTGTATGACAACCAATTTTGGCCCATCAAGAGGGCAGTATCAGGAAACTTTGGTGTCATAGCTTAATTCAAAATTGAAGCATCACTACTACCTTCCAATAACTACATCACAAAATCACAATACTTCTCTTTTGCTTTTCAAACTCCAACCCCAATCCCTGCTGTATCAGCCCCACTCACCCTGTGACATGATAGACCCTGATGGGATCTCCCAGTGTACCACAATCAGAAAAGCTACTCTCTTCAGCTTACTTACTTACTTACCTACAAACACACACACACACACACACACACCTGATGTCTAGGACAGAGTTGTAGTAAGGGTAGTCCTTTCTGGAAAGTTAATAGTACTTTTTTAAACAATACAGCCAGGCATATACATATTTATTACACATATGCTTATCAAGTCAGCTACAAAACAGATAAAGACTTTTAAGCACTAAAATGAATGCATTCCACGTCTTTAACAATCCCCCACAATCCTAGAGCTCAGCTCTAAGACCGGAAGTGAGACAGCTTTGGTATTAAAGCAGTGGAACACGGAAAGGTAAGTTAGACTAGGGGCTAGTTATTTTCTCATTATCTGCCCGCTCCTTTTATGCGTTAAAAATTAACCCTCCAGACCCATTTTATATCCAAACCTGACCATGTGTGACGCTAAGATAAACCAAATGCAACTCAGGTGTCAGAATACAGTCTTGGGAGTCACTCAGACCAATGGAGAAAGGAAGGAATTGTTCCTATGGTCTGCCTTGTAGCAGAGAAGCATAGTCATGTGTAGGATGGAATGGGGAGGCTTGTAGCACCAAGTTATGTTCTGTCATCTGGTCCGGTCAAATGCTGTATAACTTCCCAAGCAACGGCCTCTAACAACGCTGATAATCT